TTTTGAGCTTCCAAAATTAAAATATCTGTCTCTATACGTAGTAGCAGCTTCTAATACTACTTGTCTCTCATTAGAAGTCAATGTTTGATTTAAGAGCAACATTACATCTTTTTAATCTAGTCCATAGGTCTGAGTAAGTCCTCTAAAGACCTCAATGTACATATTAGGGTCATCTGAAAGTTCTCACTCAATCTGTCTTAGATCACTGAGAGAAAAAGACATATGAACACAGGTAATCTCATATTTGCCACTTACTTCCTCCAAGAGATGTTGTCTTTGAGGGACCTGAAAAACATAGCTAAGAATGGATATAGCCTCATAGAGATTAATTATGGCTGGCCTAGAAACTCCACCCTCAGCACTGGGTGGTTAGGGCGAGGAGTAGCCTCAGGCTCAGAGGTGCTGAATGTCTAAAGGGTGAAGTGTCTCTCATTTTTCTAAGTCCCACATTTACATCTGAACACAAGCAAGAATTTGCTTGACTGATTGAGTGAGAACTTTCAGATGACCCTCTTTTTTTTTTTTTTTTGGTACGGGGATCCAACTTGGCTCCATGCGCTTGCGCAGCAGGCGACAAAACCACTGAGCTAAATCCCCAGCCCAAGAATTACTTCTTAATATAAATAAAATCTCAACATAAGATAGTTTGACCATTTTTTTTCTCTTACAGTGTAATTCTAATTGTGAGATAGCATCATAGTACTTTCCTCTGTGTACTTAGCATGCGAACAGGTGTAGAGAAATACTAAATTGTTCCTTAATACATTCCAAAAGAGCAAGAGGTTCAGACATGGAACTCCTGAACTGAAACAAGAGAAACAAATATGGCATCCCATAAGTCTCTGCTTGATTCCTGTGCCCCCTAGGGCATCCCCAGGGCGTCCCCCAAGGTTTATACCATCCAGGGTAGGTAGCTACCGTCTGGAGAGAGAAAACCAGAAAATAAAACCAGACTGCACTATCTACCCTTTACCAGCACGCGACCTTATCTTCCTCAGGGAACTCATATCCTTACTCCAGTAGGTACTCTCAAAGCACAAGTTACAACTGACTTCAGCCATAACAATCATGGTTAGAGGAGGAAGTATCGCTAGCAAACCAAGAGATTTAAACCACTGCTATCTAGTTCCTTGAAAGAGAGAGAGGAAAATAAGTCAACAGTCAAATTAGGGCACTTTTCCTGCAAAAGAGATCATCTCCAGAGATGGTGAATCAGATATTCTGCCCTGGGCCCTAGGGCAGAGAAAGCTCTGAGAAATTTCCGTTGTCTATCCCGTCATTTAGGCAACTTTTATTATCAAGACAAGGCTACTCCTTTAAGGTCCATTTTAAATTCACTAAGTATTTGAAACTCATAGGTCCTCCTTGCAGCCACAATCTACATAGTACAGGAGCTCTTATCGACTTCCTATGCACGCATGAACGAAGAGAAAGGCTGACTAAAATAGTTCCATATTCTAATTAGCATGTAAAAACTCAAATGCAAATTACTGATTGTTATTTTCCCTAGTGTAAGACGAAACAGTTGTTGCTAGTTTGTCTTAGTCTGACTTTCTGGAAGGAGGAGCGGTCTGACTACTAGGGATTCTCAAATGAACTCCCAACAAGTTGGAGAAAGGTTTAAGGGGAGTTTTTAACTCAGTAGTAGAGAGGAAAAAGTCCAAATAAAGCTCAAGCTGGTTAAACATCCAAAAATCACCATATAGCATTTTATAAGTCCACAGTCAATGTTCCAAAGGCCATAACCTTATTGGAAATAGCATTTTCCTCCCCTACACATAAATGATGAAGACCATGCCTAGGTGGGAGAAAAGGTTCAGGTATTTTTACTCTAAGATTTGTTTCGTACATTTGTCTGGAGGTCTTACTAGTAGTAGAAAAAGCAGTCCA